GCAAAATATTTTATGGTGGAAAAAAAACAACTTTTAGAAAATAATCCCAGAATGAGTATCTACAGCTGATTAACTTTTGTAATAATTTCAAGATAACTGCTACAGTCAGCAGGCTTTAGAAGTCAAAAACAAATTCTATAACTCAGCCAGTTTTACATACATTTATAGCTAAAGTTTTATTTGGTGTGGGAGTAACTCAGCATCATTCTCAACACATACTTCATGCACGGCCCATTGTGTCTTTAAAATTGATCAGTTAGAGTTTAGATTTGGTCCTTTCATTATCAGCTCAGAACATCACACACAGAACACTATGGACTTTGTGGTCAAGGTGAGGGATGTCATCATGGAGAGGGGTGAAAATTTGGTCTCTTTTGATGTTACATCGCTCTTTACATGCGTTCCTGTTGATGAGGTGGTGAATTTGGTCTGTATAAGGTTAAAATCAGACACCACTCTCAGCAGCAGAACCACTCTTTCCACAGAACAACTGTGCCAACTCATGAAACTGTGCCTGGAATCAACATACTTCACATTTTAGGGCAATAGGCAGAAACATGGATGTGCTGTGGGATCCCCAGTTTCCCCTATTGTTGCAAACCTGTACATGGAGGAGGTGGAAAAGAGAGCTCTGATATCCTTTTCAGGAACACCACCGAGCCATTGGTTCAGGTCTGTTGATGACACCTGGGTTAAAATTAAATCCCAGTAAGTCCAACATTTCACTGATCACATCAACTCCGTGGATAAATATATAAAGCTCACACGAGAGGATGTAAAATATGGCAGGTTGGGGTTCCTGGGGCCTCATGCATAAAGGATTGCGCAGCTTTCACACTAAAAGTTGACGCACGGACAAATTTAGAAAAGTGTGCCGCACCAAAAAATTCAGATGTATAAAACCAAACGCACGCATGTTCCTGTGCACCTTTCCTTACATCCCAATGAACGTGGAACTTAGTGCACGTGAGACACCTCCTCTGACAAGCCCCCATTTAAATATGTTAAATAGATGTAAATGTGTCCAGCGTGTGAGATTCTCCTCCAATTCCTCTCTGTGGGATCAGAAATGATTTTTAGATGCAGGAAAAATATAAATTAAATGTAGAGAGTGAGAAAACTGTCTAAATACATAGTGGGTGACATTGTTTTATGTGGCGCATTCACATGAGATAACCAAAGCCTGAGATTTTCCTGAAATTTACAGACATCTCCCGATTCCGCATGTGATATTGAAGCTGGTTAGTTGGTTAGCTGTTGTGTATTTAGTTGAACACAGCGTTGAACAAACATTAAAAAACAAACAAAAAAACAATGAACATCAAGTTATCCACTTTTTCTGCTCTCTCTTGCTCCTGCGTTACAGCAGGCGCTGTCATCTCCACGAACAGACCCCCACCCCACCCCCACGCTCAGGTACGAGTGGTAGCCTATGGATTTTTTGCAAAAAATATAGATTTTTGAGGCTCATTAGACAGATAAACGTCCAAAGGGGTTGACACATTCAGCGGGTAAAATAAGTATTGAACACGTCAATATTTTTCTCAGTAAATATATTACTAGAGGTGCTAATGACATGAAATTTTCACCAGATGTTGGTNAAACTGTGCCTGGAATCAACATACTTCACATTTTAGGGCAATAGGCAGAAACATGGATGTGCTGTGGGATCCCCAGTTTCCCCTATTGTTGCAAACCTGTACATGGAGGARGTGGAAAAGAGAGCTCTGATATCCTTTTCAGGAACACCACCGAGCCATTGGTTCAGGTCTGTTGATGACACCTAAAATTAAATCCCAGGAAGTCCAACATTTCACTGATCACATCAACTCCGTGGATAAATATATAAAGCTCACACGAGAGGATGTAAAAGATGGCAGGTTGGGGTTCCTGGGGCCTCATGCATAAAGGATTGCGCAGCTTTCACACTAAAAGTTGACGCACGGACAAATTTAGAAAAGTGCGCCGCACCAAAAAATTCAGATGTATAAAACCGTACGCATGCATGTTCCTGCGCACCTTTCCTTTAAACATCCCAATGAACGTGGAACTTAGCGCACTTGAGACACCTCCCCTGACACGCCTCCATTTAAATATGTAAAATAGATGTAAATGTGTCCAGCGTGTGAGATTCTCCTCCGATTCCTCTCTGTGGGATCAGAAATGATTTTCAGATGCAGGAAAAATATCAATTAAATGTAGAGAGTGAGAAAACTGTCTAAATAAGTAGTGGGTGACATTGTTTTATGTGGCACATTCACATGGGATAACCAAAGCCTGAGATTTTCCTGAAATTTACAGACATCTCCCGAATGTGATATTGAAGCCTGGTTAGTTGTTGTGTATTTAGTTGAACACGGCGTTGAACAGACATTAAAAAACAAACAATAAAAAAACAATGAACATCAAGTTATCCATTTTTCTGCTCTCTCTTGCTCCTGCGTTACAGCAGGCGCTGTCATCTCCACGAACA